AATTACTGGAGATCTGATACCTATTAAATACATAAATTTTATGTATATATTTTATGTATGTGATATAAATATATCGCGATATTGAAATCAGATTGCTCAATTATATCAGATAAATTATTATATTTATTGACTTTTGACAGCTTATTGCTTGTAATTCCAAGTAGGTTTTAAATAGAAACCTGAATATTTGGATTTCTAACTTGTTTGGGGTCTTGAACATTCGCTGAAAAAATCAATTCTCAACTCTCAACGGTTTCCGACTTGACTTCATGCTACACATAAGTTTAAAAGGAAATATATAAATTTGTTTATTCTGGGCTATTCCGACCACCCATAAATCTAAAACTTTGTGCACTTGCATTGTTCATTGGACTGAGCGAGTTTTAAAAGTTTCATACTTCTATGTGATCAGAAAGCATATTGAAAATAAATTTAAAATTTTGAAAGGCAATTTACAAATTTGTCTGTTCCTGGCCATTCTGACAACCCCGAAGTCTGAAAATTTGTCAACTTGCATTGTCATCAGGTTTTAACAAGTGTACAAAATTTCAGATTTCTACGTGATCTAGGGGTATACTAAAAATCAATTACAAGATTTGTGGCCAAAAAGACATGGAAGCAAGTTAAATAAAACCTTTTAAAAATCATTCATATCTATTTTTGAAAAAGCATCACAAACACCAGAGTTCAATAGAAAAATATCGAATGCATCATTATAAATTTCACTATCAATCTTTATACATAAATTTCTCGCCAGATGAACTTTAAAAAAATTCAATCTATATAAAAACAACTTGTCCTCTAAATATTTGATATGCAATTTAAATATATATTTAAAAAAAATCTAAATAGGCTAAGTAAATTTTGATGTATTTGTAAAATTGAACTCACAGACATATGGAAGGCACATGATATCTTAATATATAATATAAGTAGGTAGTAAAATATGTTTTACTTACAGCTAACGAGGCCCGACCAAAGCGTACTAAACCAATAGATGATAGGTCAAAATTTTTGTGATACAAGTAGCCAGTTGATGCTCCTATAAGGCCATACTTGATTAATCTTCGATAGCTCATTTTTCTGAAACAAAAAAAATATATATATATTAAAAACATGATATATTTGACCATATTACAGTAGAACCTACATGAGAGGACACTCCCACTAGAGGAGACCTCTCTACAAACGACACTTTTCATCATCAAAATTACCAATTTTACTAATTAACAACTCTCCAGTAAAAGGACACCTCTCTCTATAGGACACTTTATCTCTGCAAATAAGTGTCCTTTACAGGGAGGTTCTACTTTAATTGAAATCCCATGTCATATAAAAATTTACATACATCAAACTAAAATTATTTCTAATACAATAGATCCTATCTGTAAAGGAGACCTAGTTGCAGAACCAAAGTGCTCTTTGGGGAGAGGTGTCCTCTCAACAGAGTTGCTAATTAGTAAGAATGGCCAATTTGGGGATGCAAACTATTCTTTGTGGAGAAGTGTTTTCTAGCAAGATTATTCTTTCATGGAGTCTCTACTGTATTTCAGTGCTATTTTAGAGCAGTGGTTCTCATAAAACTTTTGCATTTTAGAATTTTCTAACTTGGAAGACCTCTCTGACTACTATGGGGGCAAAGTAGCGATGGGTATCAAGCTGGGCCTCACAGAATCCACTTTTCTGGAGGCCCTCACTAGATGGATTGGTCAACCAAATCATGTTTCCTGGGGAACAGACAAAAATCATTTTATATGGCATCAATTTTATTTGTATACAATGTAGTTTCTAACTGCTTCCTATCCTTAATGTCATAACCTATATTTCTTAATCAGTTTCAAATTTGAATTATGATTAGATACAATTTGGATTATAGAATAGAAATACATGGTATTAAGACAAAATCCAAATAAAAATGTATGCGAGGTTTTGTCAATAATGCTGTTTATTTGGATTTGGTTTTATTACCTTGTGTAACTTGTATTATTTTATTTTTTATAAAAGCTAAATATTATTTAAATATAATTTTTGTGGTTTAGATATATACATGTGATGGAGAATCTAAGAAATATAAATATGCCTCATGATTTGAACTAACACTGGCATTGTGAATAAAACCAAGCAGAATTAGGTCAAAAGGACACATCAATTGTCGACTTCTGTACTCTCCAGGAAACGGGGTTAACCAAATAAATAATAAAATACAAATGTATGTGTGATAGTTTAAAATACTTCGATTTTTTCTGTCGAATGTGAGACGAGCTAATACGTTAGTATAAATTATATTGATATAATAATGTTAAAGTTTAAGGATAGGATGTAACTAATATTCTTCCGGTATATATGTTTCTTTATGTTTTAAAACATAAAATTATTCAGTCTGATTAATTATAATACGCGAATTTTAAAAATAAAAAGCTTACCTAATTTTTAAATATAAAACGCTGATATATATCAATAAATAAAATCTTTAAAAAATAATTTAGATAACGTCTTATAAAGTAGAGGATTTGTAAACAAAATAAAGTGCACATGAGTTTTACAGAGTAATAACAGATAAAAATATCTACGACAAAATTTTATTTGATTCTCATTTTAAAAAAAAAATGAATTTTAGATGAACATTATTTTTTAATTTGAAATAAATTTTAAAATAATATATATTTTTTAATATACACACACCGGGAAGGCCAAAGTGATGGAATACGTTTATTTTTTGAAAAGTACGAATGATAAGAGCCAACATATTTTTCCTATCTATAAGTTTTGCACTTCAAAACAATATTTTACACCTTAATAACAACATTTTACGCTTTGGATTTAACAATATTTTTAATTTAATGAAAGAATTTCACACATCACAGTCTAAAAACAAAATAAAAAGTAGTCTCTCTCTCTCTCTCTTTGCATACTATATATTTTATATTATTACAAAATGCGAAAAACTGTTTAAAAGAGATATATTTATAAACTAGATTCATGGAGCGCCTAACGACAACTAACTGGAAGGTCCACCTCTCTAGTATGGACAAATGTAAAGCGCTTTCACTCGCGTCCTGTTTTGGTTGATGAGCTGAATCAGTTGTCAAGGAAGTTCCATGCTGATGTTGAATAGGAAAGGCTGTTTATAAAGGTAGAATAGAGAGAGTTAAGGTAGGTATTTTTTGAAATATAAACATATATATCACAAATAATAAAATAAAATTGCTTCCAAATGAAAAATTTGAATTAAAAAATATTTAGAAAATATTTTAAAATTGAAAAGCGTGAATTTTATTTATACATATAATATCCAAATAAATTATGCTAATTGATGACTCTCTCTCTCTCTTTTGATGTAAAACTGAATTCTAGAGCGTATCGATGACTCCAATTCTACAATTAATATTATATATTGGATTCTATAATATAGGTTATTCAAATTTCGCTAAACACCATTTGATGGCATTTTTTTGGTACTTGAATGAAGTAGGCTTTACATGCAGACATTTCAAATATTCATAAGAAACCTTTATGCCGAAAAGAGTAAATGTAGTAAATCAAAAACTATTGGTATCGAAAAATCAGAATTCCTAACATTAGTTTTATATATTTGAAATACTTTGTGCTCTAACTAAAAGTGTGAACCAATTGAATTTTATATTATGAATATTTTTAGAATACACTAGCATTTTAAAAAAGGCTATTATCATATTTATTTTGTTATAATGTTCTTTAAATTTGAAGATCCTTATAGGGTTGCACTTTTTTTAAATATTTTATTTAACTTGCTTACTTGTCTGTCTGTCGACAAGTCTTGTAATTAATTTTGACTATACTTTGGCTACTATTAATCTATCTGGTTAAATTACTTCAAGTTTCTAAATATTCTTTTTTCTCAAAAGTCTTAATTAGTTATTGGTTGAATTTTGTGTGTGATTAGGCTTTTATTAGTTAATATTTTCAACTGAATTTTATATACATATACACCCCTGCTTGATATCTAGTCTAGTCTATATATATATACGCCCCAAACTGTGTGTGTCTTGAAAATATAAAAATAAAAATGTGAACGGAAAAATAACTCCAGGGTAGCCTAGTGGTCATGGCATCTGCCCGGTGAGCGAAAGGTCGTGGGTTCGATTCCCATCCCTTGACACTTTTTTTATTTATCCATTCTGACCAAATCTATCCATGAACTTCACACAGTGAACTTCACACAGAGAGAATAAGGCAATTATATAAGTATATAATCCAAATTGTGCCTTATCACACACTATTTTTTTATTTGGCCTTATTACCTTGTGTTTATAATCTATGACGTAATGCTGGCGGCGCGCACATTGGCTGCCGGCGAGCACGTGACCTCCCTGTGCGCGCGCATCCGTGACAGAACCGGCCCATGACGGTCGTGACTATATATAGGGACTAGACGAATGGCCCGGGCAACGCCCAGGTTTTACCCAGTGCGTATATATTTTAAAAACGTTTTAATTCAAATACTATTTGTTACAATTATAAATTGGCGCCGTGGATCTCTCTCTTGTGAAACGTCCCGCCCCTGTGTGTGTCTTGAAAATATAAAAATAAAAATGTGAATTTTCATAAAGATTTCATCATGTCGATTTTTTTTTGCATTTCACCTACTAAATCGATAGAGATAATTACATTTGCAACATGAACTTAGGTATATTGACTAAATAGAAAACTGCATAGTAATAAAGATCATTTTTAAAGGCACCATATCGTTTTTTTTCCAATAAAATCGAAACAAAAATTAACGATAAATAACGATAATTGCCTTAAAAAGAAATTGCCTTAAAAAAAAAAAAACATTCGCGGTGATTTTGTCTTGCATTCATTTATACAATTATTATATACGAATGACCCGGGCAACTCCCGGGTTTTACCCGATTAAATGCTTTTATTCAAATACTATTCGTTACAATTATAAATTGCGCCGTGGATGTCATTCTTGTATAATATATAAATGAGTTTTAAAAATTGTAAAAAAAAAAAAATGCATCGGCCGGGAATCGAACCCGGGCCGCCCGCGTGGCACAGGCGAGCATCTATCTACCACTGAACCACCGATGGTTTATGAAAATTCCCATCCGTGAGCTTCAGACAAACAAACAGACAGAATAAGGCAAATATATAAGTACATTTACTCTTCATTGTTGGCTTTTTATCTTACATTTATTCTTCATTGTTGGCTTTTTTAATTACATTTACTCTTCATTGTTGGCTTTTTATCTTTCATTCATTCTTCATTGTTGGCTTTTTATATCATATTTACTCTTCATTGTTGGCTTTTTATCTTACATTTATTCTTCATTGTTGGCTTTCATATTACATTTACTCTTTATTGTTGGCTTTTTATCTTACATTCATTCTTCATTGTTGGCTTTTTATATTATACTAATGATGATGCGCGCGCATCCGTGACAGAACCGGCCCATGACGGTCGTGACTATATATAGGGATGGATAATAATAATATAATAATAATAATAATTATATTATTATTATTATCATTAGATAATGATAATGATCATAATGATGATGCGCGCGCATCCGTGACAGAACCGGCCGGCCGGCCCATGACGGTCGTGACAATATATGTTGATATATATATAATTGAATGTCTGTCTGTCTGTACTCTATAGATTCGAAAACCATACATCCAATCGCCGTGAATTGGGATATTTTTAGGTATATCCCAGGGAAGGTTTTTGAAAAATAATTTCTTGAATATCTTGAATATCCTTAAGTTATTTGTAGATTTAACTCGCAAGCAGCGCCCCCATTGCGACGATGATAACAAGTTTTTTTATCTATAAGTTTTATTATCACTAAGGTTATTATCTCAAAGATTATTTATCAAAAGTAAGATTTTCTACCTATTAATTGCGCACAAGTCAGTTATTTATCGAGTATTTTTCAAGGGACCGGGAAAAAATGTTCACTAGATAAAACGATGATTTTGTAATGTAGAAAATTAGGAAAGACAAAATTCAGGATGACACGGCAATTTATTTGAGACAAGAATAATGATACAATTCCAAGGCAAGATACTGTAGGGACACCACTCATTCTCAATAATTATTCTAGAAAAATGTAAATTCAATTTGTATATTTTATTTTTGGTTGTAATTGATAGTTTAGAAATTATAATCTTTTTGTAAAAAATATTTGTTATCATCATCAATAATGTTGTTGCCTTCGAATTGTAAACAAACTTTGTATATAAAGACATTTTAGATATAAGATATTGATTTAATATGTGTGAAGAAAAATAAATTGTTTAATTATTAAAAGTTGTAATAATTGAGCCTCAAGAAATGCCCACACATATATTGGTGAGCCGGACGTGATCCAAATAAAGCCAAAATACGAAGGTAAGCCAAGCCTAAAAAAAGAACAACTTTGAATTAGCGATTCCTGTTCAAGATCCAGATTTTATTTTTACATATTACCCATTTATTTTATTGCTAATTTTTCTTTTAATATTACCTTTAGATAATTTCGTCTAATATTTTAAAATTTTTGCCTATTACTTTAATTAGATTTTCTTATCAAAATATTATTTTAACAAAAAAAATGGAATCAGAAAATAAGCCTAGCGAAATTGCTACAGAATTATGCAAAGTCAGCATTAAGATCCCACCTTTCTGGGTTGAAAAGCCCGAATTATGGTTTCATCAGGTTGAAGCTCAGTTTAAAATAAATGGCCTTGTTCAGGAAGAAACGAAGTTCAATTATTTGATCTCCCAGCTAGAACCGAAATACATGGAAAGTATTTGGGATATAATAAATAGCAGAAGCGACACCAAATACTCTGACTCTAAGTTGCGGCTGCTAGAATCGTTCAGACAAAGTGAAGGTCAGAGAATAAAACAACTTATTTCCAGTATTGACCTAGGAGACATGAAGCCAAGCCAATTACTACAAAAATTAAGATCCCTCGCTACCCCAGATGTTCCTGAAAATTTGATTAAAACTTTATGGCTGGACAAATTGCCAGTCTCAATCAAAAACATCTTAATAGTAAGCGACGAGGATATAAGCAAGTTGGCCATAATGGCTGATAAGATAAATGAAATAAATCCCTCAAAGGAACTATACCAGGTAAAGGAAGCCTCATCCCCAATGGAACAGTTGCTCACTAAAATGGAAGACCTCGAAAAACAGGTGTCTGAATTGCGACTGGAGAGGTCGAGATCTCGATCTGAAAATAGGACCTATTCAAGACACGAAGCAATTCTCGGAAACGCTTCAACCCTGATGGTAAATATTGCTTTTACCACTTCCGTTTTGGCGCCAAATGTTTACCAAACAAGTGCAAGCCTCCATGTAGCTGGAAGGAGTCGGGAAACGGGAACCAGCGGCAAAACTAGCGACTAGTTTTGTTGCTGACCAAATACAGGATAGTCGCAAACATCGTCTATTTGTTAAGGACAAAGAAACGGGTCTGCAGTTCCTGATAGACAGCGGTGCTGACGTCAGCGTAATTCCGCCAACTGATAAGGATGTGCCAAGCAACGAACTTTTGCTAAATGCTGCAAATGGTTCCAAAATAGTAACATTTGGCACTAAGGTGATCAAAATAGATTTGGGCCTAAGGCGATCCTTTCAGTGGTGTTTCATCATCGCCAAAGTGAACAAAGGAATTATTGGAGCTGACTTTTTAAATATTTCAAGTTGATACTTGACATTAGCAATAAAAGGCTAATTGATGGCATAACTAACCTCTCAATTCGAGGTGATGTCATGTCCATCGACAGCACAAGTATCACCAGCACCATAAACAAGAACGAAAAATATTACAATCTATTGGCACAGTTCCCGAAATAACTAAGCCCAATTTTTTAATAAATAAAGTCAAACATGACGTCGAACATCACATTATTACAAAGGGACAACCAGTTTTCTCGAAACCAAGACCATTGGACCCATGAAACTGAAATTAGCAAAAGAGGAATTCCAGTTCATGCTTAATAATGATATAATCCGCCGATCAAGTTCACAATGGTCAAGTCCACTGCACATGGTCTTGAAGAAAATGGGACGTTTAGACCTTGTGGTGATTACAGAAGGTTAAATGACTGTACAGTTCCAGATAGATACCCAATTCCGAGATTAAACGATTTTAGTCACATACTGAACAAAAAAGAAAATATTTTCAAAGGTCGATCTTTTTAAGGCATATTTTCAAATTCCATAGCCGAAGAAGATAAGCCAAAAACTGCTATTACACACACTTTTGGATTGTTTGAGTTTAATGTTTGAGCTTTGGACTAAGGAATGCACCATCAACATTCCAGAGATGCATCCACCAAACTCTCCAAAACCTTGATTTTACATTCCCATATCTAGATGATATCCTAATAGCTTCCGAGTCAGAAGAGGAACACCAAAACCATCTGAAGATAGTATTTGAAAGATTTAGCAAATACGAATTGAGAATAAATATGGAAAAATCTGTCTTTGGAGTTAAAGAAATAGAATTCTTGGGTTATTTAATTACGCCTGAAGGATTTAGCCCACTTCCAGAACGCGTAAAAGTTATCCAAGAATATAAATTGCCTACTACGATTCAGGAATTACGAGCCTTTTTAGGCATGTTAAATTTCTACCGTCCATTTTTGAAGATGCTGCGGAAACACAATCCATTTTGCACGATTACCTCAAAGGTTCAAAAAAGAAAGATAAAAGATTAATTAATTGGACCGAAGAAGCAAAAGAAATATTCAATAAATGCAAGAATGACCTAGCAAAAGCAACACTGTTAAGCTATCCCAATTCAGAACTACCTCTGTCGCTTTGCACAGATGCTTCAAATTGGGCGATAGGCACAGTTTTGCAACAATACGAGAACGAAGCATGGAAGCCAATTGCATTCTTCTCGAAGAAGCTGAATGAAAGTAAAAAAATATAGTACTTATGATCGAGAGTTACTAAGCATATACATGTCAATCAAACATTTCAAATATATGCTGGAAGGAAGAACATTTAAAATATTTACTGATCATAAGCCCCTAGTCTTTGCCTTCAAGCAAAGAAATGATAAGGCATCTCCGAGGCAAGTTAGACAACTACAATACATTTCACAATTCTCTACAGATATCATCTACATCAAAGGAGAACAAAACATAGTTGCTGATAACTTATCGAGAATAGAAGACATCACCGAGATAATCGATTATGATGAGATAGCAAAGAACAAGATAAAGATAAGGAACTTATAGAACTTATCAAAAAATTCGAATAAATCTCTAAAATTCAAACGCTATCCATTACCATCTGGTAAATTTGTGGTGCGACACATCTACTGAAAATATTAGACCATTCGTTCCCAAACAATTCAGAATGAAAATTTTCCAACAAATACATGGATTATCACACCCTGGAATTAAAACATCTGTGAAAGACATGACATCGAGATTTATATGGCCAGACATAAAAAGAAATATAAAAGAATGGGCGCAAACTTGTATTCAATGCCAAAGAAATAAAACTTCTCGTCATACAAAATCAGAAATTAAGCAATTTAAAGAACCTGATGAACGTTTCAGCACGGTTCACATAGACTTAATCGGCCCATTTCCACCCTCCAACGAATATGTTTATTGCCTCACGTGCATAGACCGTTTCACTGGTTGGGTTGAAGCAATACCCATACGAAACGAAACTGCCGAAAACAGTAGCAAGAGCATTTTACGAAGGATGGATCACCAATTTGGAGTCCATATGAAGTGATCACCGACCAAGGAAGGCAGTTCACTTCGGAATTGTTTTAAAACCTTGGCGACCTTATGTGGAGTGAAACTTAAGCACACCACCGCATATCACCCATAAAGTAACGGAAAAATTGAAAGATTCCATAGAACACTAAAAGCAGCAATAAGGGCGCACAACTCAAATAAATGGACAGAGTCAATTCCCACGGTACTGCTAGGACTAAGAGCAGCCTTGAGAAAAGACTCTGACTACTCATTGACACAAATGGTCTATGGAAAAACATTAAACTTCCAGGCGAGTTTTTCGACGCCCCTAAAATTTCAACCACCCGGAGACATTTCTCCACAAACTGCA